GGCAAATTGGGACCTGAGCTTCCTCTCCAGTGGCCCAAATGCCCACTCTCGGAGGCTGACAAGCCCATGAATTTCACTGAAGCTGCCTTTTTGACCATGTCTGGCCTGACTGGTGTACTGTTAACCCTGGTGCTGGTGGCTCTTGCACTCACAAGTCAGCCTAAGTTCCGTGCCCTCAGGTTCGAAATCTTCTCGAAGATCCACACGGTGGGCATTGTAACCTGGCCGATCCTCTTGTTTCTGCACGACTCACAGGGGTGGGTTGGCATCAGCATCCCCTTAGTGCTGGTTGTTTGCGGCCTTCCCATCCTCCTCTACGTCTCAGCTCGGCTGGACCAGCTGCTCCGCTACTACCTCAACTCCGTGTCCTGCGTGCAGTTGTGTGCCCGGGGCCTGGAAAAACCGAAGCTGAAGGCGCCCTGGTGCAACTGGAGCTCTCGCGCCCAAGGTGCCTGTGGCGTTGGAAGGGGCACGCCTCTCTCTCTTGCTTAAGGTTTTTTAATCACAAATCTGCGCGACCCCGGACAGTCTCGCGGGGGGGGGTCGCTTGCTGGGCCGCTGCGGGCGCTCTGGCGGCAATCTAGTCGTGGAGCTTGAAATGCGCCTGGCGGGCTCTGCGCGCATTTCTGAAATCCGCGCCCCCTTAGAAACGTGTTTTTCTAGAAGCCAGGGAAAACGGCTGTGGATGCATTTTGTGCCGCCACACTTTAACCGATGCTTGATGCGACTCACACGCTCTGACGAACCACCACAGGCATGCCTCTCTTGCAGCATCTTCTCCAAGCCAGCTCCTTCCTGAGCAGCCCAACTGTCTAAAAGCAAACAAGACATGTCCACTCTGGCACACAAGGACGCCCTCTCAATGCTCCCCTCCACTTGACCTGCGTTACTCACAATCTCAGAGCACACAAGACCAAGCCTTGATGATGATGCTTGGCTTGAGTATCTTCAGCCAGGCCTGAGGCTTCTCGCATCTTGAGCAATGGCGTCAGTAAGGAGCCTTAAAAGTACACGTGCACATGTCGTCGCATGGCAGCAGGTTTTTTTTCCGCGGTGGCCTCCAAACTGCTCCTACACCTATTGTTTAAATGTACATGTCATGTAGCTAGCGTTTGCACGCTGGGCCTTCACATCTGTCGGAAAAGGAGCCAGGTGCTGCAAGCTTCGTAGCTGGACATTGATTTGCTTCAACAAGAACCGTGGCCGAATCACTTGGAAGTTTCTTGAGAGATTTCGAGGCCGTGCACTTTCCCAAAGAATCATCTGGACCTTGACGTTCATGCGAAAGACCTTCTGTCTCGACTGACACAGCAGCCCATACCTACGTTGCAGGTCTTGGTCTTGAGGGGTCACTCCCTCATGTACCAAGCGGCAGAAGTATTCAAGCACAAGCTGGGAGCGATCCTTGGCATCCAATTTCTTAGTCTCATTCCTACACGTCGCGCCCAAAGTGGCAACTACTGGAAGAATCTCATTCGCTGCTTTCGTGTTTTTTGCTTGGATCAGGCGAACAAGAGGCCTCTTGCCGCGGCGAAGAACAAGTATGTCGGCTCCCTGAGCACTTGGCCCATTCTTCAGCACCACAGTCTCGTTCCCGGCCAGAGCTGACAGGATCTCCAGAAACTGGTCTTGGGGAATGCCCTCCATCTTTTTCTGATTTTGCGGTGGAGGCAAAGGTCTGTCCAAATGTATAAGGATGGCTCTCCTGCCTGTCACAACCTCAGCGCTGCGCCTCTCAGCTTCTGCAATGAGGTCTTCAAACGAGTCTCCGTCTTGAGGAATGATCTTTGGCACGTCAAACGCTGCAAGCAGCATTTGTTTCAAAGCGGGCGAAGATGCAAAGGTAACTTGCAAGGAGTAGTTTTTGCTGTGGGGATCCCGCTCATAAATTTCCAGGAACTTGCTGTAGCTTGAAGGCATGCAAAGGCCCAAGTCAATGCAATCCATTGCATCAGCCGCAGTTGGCCTGCAGCCTAAGCCTGCAACGGCTAGATGCATGAGCATCGCAAGCGCGTTCCTTGCCACAAGCTCTCTCTGCTCGGGGGTTGTCAGGCGCGACAAGCCATTCAATGATCTGTACCTTAACGGCACGAAGCAGCCAGGAATCCAGGGGAACCGCTTCCAAATGCGGTATGCGTCCTCACGATTGATCGCCGCTGACGGCTCTACATGCCTCTTTACTTCGTCAACTAGAAGCATGGCAGTCCGGGCGTTTGACAGGTACGGCGCCAGGAACTTGACACGCTGTAGATCCGCCAGGGAGACCTTCCCGCCAGGCATGACTTGGTTCAGCAATTGCTGCAGATAGGAGTCGTTCCCTGTCCCTTCTTGAACTGGCCCAACTTCAACTAGATGAACCTTCTCTGGGTCGGAAGAGAATGCAGCAGATTGCCCCGATTCAAGAATACGTGCTGCGGACGTGCCTGCCAGAATCAGTTGCGCTCGTTCGCAATATTCGCCGAGGCCCGAGTAGATATCCTCTTGCTGCGCGACAATACCCGGTGCCAGCTCTGGACATTTCGTGATTTCATCGATCACAAGTACTACAGAGCCGAGAGCGTCGGTGTCTCGCGACGCATTTTCCAGCCATTCTTCAGTTAACTCTTTGTGATGAGGAAACGCATGCCTGACCCGTTCCTTGAATTTATCCAAAACAAATTGTTTGCACAACTCACCACGCCGGCTTGTGTTGTTCTCAGCATTGGCTTCCTTGATTTGTTCGAGGAGACCTTCGTGGCTATCTGGTACACTGCAGCCAAACACGCGGACAGTGGCATTTCCGGTCTGGGACATAATGCGGGCTGTTGCGAACAGCGCTTGAACAGTTTTGCCACTACCGCTTTCTCCGTAAAAAACAGGAATGCATCGTTTTCCTTGATCCGTTTCAAAAGAGACGTTGCCGAGGTGCTGCGCATCAGGGACGTACCCGCAAGCAAGCCGTGTCAGCAGGTCGTATACCCAAACGCCGTGATATATGTAAGCGGCATAGCTGGCGTTTTTGGCAAGGTCTGCAAAGGTCAACGCCTTTCAGCGCACGGGCTGCCATGAAACATGCCAACTGACATGACACTGACCGCAAAACAGGCCCAAGAGAAGCGTGACTAGTGCACGCCAGAGTGGCCGAAGGGTCGTTTAAGCCTTGAACTGCGTCGACCAGGAACTCAGCCTTCGCAACCTCTAGCTTGTAGTTTTTCTTGAGCTGATCTTGCGTGACTGTGAGCACCTGGTTACCATTCATCCCGGCCAGCTTCCGAAGTGCCTCAAACAAGGAAAAGGAATGGATTGCACAAACGAAATTTACACCCCTGGCCTGTTGGATATCAGAATCGTCGTACTTGGCAGAAGCCAGGTTTGCTGTAATCCATGCAGCTACTTGCTTTGGCTCGTAGCTGTTCACATCGTTCTTGGTTGCGTCCAGCGCTGCCTTCAACACCTAGGCCAGGCGGCATCCACAGCTCAGACCGCGATTGGCAAGGACATAAAGTGTGCGGCCCAGCAACCGATTGGACAACTGGAACCTCCAGAGCTGATCTCATCGCATCCTTTGTCTTCATCTCGACCAGCGCCAACAGCATAGCACCTGCCAGCGCCGTCCCCGCCACATCTGGCCAACTTTCCCACAGCTCCGAGGCCGCGGCCGACAATCGTGATCCGATCCTGTGCCGGAGCAACCCGTGCTATGGACATCCGGCTACACTCCCAAGCCCCCCGGGCCTCATGAGCGCTTGCATCTTCAAGCTTCTTCTTGGCATCTTCAACGGCCTCAGCTTGCTCCGAGACTGCGGCTGGCCGAAGCAACGGCAAGGCGTGCAGTCAAGCGGCGGCGGCGGCCTTGAGCTTTGTGATGTATTGCAGTATGTTCTCAGCTGGCCCTGGCTTGATTTGGTAAACGTTCGTGAGCTTCTCGAGGCTCGTATCGACCAAGTTATTGCCCCCGACTCCGGTAGCATTCAAAGCTGCAACCACCTCCAGCACAATGCATTGCAAGGCTCATTGGGGTAACAAGATGGATAATTCGCAACCTCATGAAACACTCTTCGGAAACGTGTCATACGAACACCTGGCACAGAAAGCTAGTAGAAAAAACGACGTCCCAGCCTGTGCAATCAAGCGGTCGCCGATTGGAATGTCTTCTGCTGCTTGCTGTATCCAACACAAGACCTCACCAACGGCACCTACCTACAAAACTCAGGTGAAGAATGCGACGCCCGGCCCACCTCATCATTGTCGCAATTTGCAAGCTCCCTGAACTGCTCTGCCAAGGATTCTGTAGCAACCTCAACGAACATCTTGTCATAGAGCTCATCCCACTTTGCGCGCATGACAAAAATTCGGCCCTCTCGCCTTATCAGCTTCACCACCATCAGCCTGAGTTTGTCCAGGTGAGCTTAACATGCTTAACACATTCTTCTCAGTTTTCCCCGCCTTGCTCGCGGCTCCGCGTGCAATGAGCGGCTTACGCGCCCACGCGCCCGCAGGAGGCCTCGCTTGGCTTTGTGCTCTTCGTCGGTCCATGCTGTCATATCCCGCCTTGCAAAGGGCACGGCCCGGACTCCAACAGCAGCCCGCACTGTTTGCACGGCTTGCCTGATGAAGCTGCCGGGGATCCTCTCTAACACTGGCTGAGCAGCGCCTGTCTAAGGCCCTGGCTGACACGCCCAAAACAATGCCAGCAGCGCCAGCACGCGACCAATCTTGCGCGATGCTGGAGTCCTTGCCATGGCTGCGCTCGTCCTACAGCTGTCCTCAAGAAGGCTCGAGCAGAAGCGACTGAATGACATCGAAGAAGCCATGATCCCCAACTCCCTTCTGTCATCTTGGGTTGGCTGCTGGTCCAGAGGCATCTGGGTGCCACACGCAGAGTGCGTTGACAAAGGACACATGATATCGCCTGCCAGGACAGCGAGATCCACAAGCGTACATAGCTAAAATTTCTCTGGCAGCAGAGAACAGAAAGT